TTTAAGCGTTACATGTAAGCGCTACGTTTAAGCGCTACATTTAAGCGTTACATGTAAGCGCTACGTTTAAGCGCTACATTTAAGCGTTACATGTAAGGGCTACGTTTAAGCGCTACATTTAAGCGTTACACGTAAGCGCTACGTTTAAGTGTTACATTTAGCGTTTAGTTCTGTTAAATTCGTTCACTGCTGGGTTTAGTTTCAATGTAGCAACAATCTTGGGGAAACTTCGGTTACCATGGTGATGTTTGTGACGTGCGCGCAGGCGAACGCGTGAGGATGAGTGAGAGGATCTTACCCGAATCCGCTGAGCTGCTGTTACATTCACTTCATACGCGAACGGATGCGTCTTCATCATCATCATCATCATCACCTAACGCCAAATGGACGTCAGTAAACCAATAAGTCGCAGCTAGGAGTAGTGTGCAAAAGAAGTCAAAGATCCCAAACAAATGGCTGGATTAAAAGTTGAGAAGGCGGTGGTACTAAAAAAAAGCTTAAGGAGTATTTGTGTGAAACGAAGCCGAACCCATCTGATAAAACACTGAACTAGAAGCCTGAAGCTTTACGAGCTGAACCCCGCCCACTAAACGCACGTTTGGCCCCGCCCTCTTAAGCACTCAGCCGTCAATCAACAAGACCCCGCCCACTGAAACGCGCCCTGGTCTCTCACTCAGTGTTTCTTTATCACAAACTCTCCTATTAAGTACAGTATTCACTGGTTTATTATTCTTGCTGATTCTTTTACACATAAATGTACATTTTTTAGGCAAGAATCCGATTTTTCTGATAGATGATAAAACCTTAAAAAAGTAAAAAATGACAGTCTCTCTCAATGTTTATCCATGTAAAAGTTTGTTCTCTGGATTTTATTTATATTTATATATATATATAATAACAAATAAGCCTGAAGGACTTGATTAGTTGGATCAGGTGTGTTTAATTAGGCTTGAATCTAAACTCTGCAGGAATTGAGTTTGACACCTCTGCTCTAGATGGTTGATAGAGCTGGGAAACGTGATTTCAACCTGGTTAGAGCTACCAAACCAATTTAAACCAGCAACAAACCAATTTACAGACTGATTTAGCTGGTTTCTGAAAGTGCCCATGATTAGTTTAGACTGGTTTATGAGGTTTCTTCTCACAGTGAAACTCTAATTATTTTTTTATTTGGTAAAGTACTTGTATAATAAGTGGGATAATGTACAGCCACACAAATTTATATTAACTAACTATACAATAAAATACAGCCATAATATATTTCTGTATATACTTGATCTTAAATCATTTGGCATAAATAAAGATCCAAAAATCAGTCAATGTGTCTAATTGTGTGGTTTTTGCATAAATACAATAATACCACCACAAACACTTCCAAACTACAGTTAACTACAAAAATGTAGTGAATATTCATATTTTCTCTGAAAACTGTGTTCGATAAAGTTTCTTTAGGCTATAAACGACAAACTCTACTCTTGTAATGAGAATCTATATTTGTAAATGTCAAATGTACTGTACAGTCAGGGGCACCCGGAAATATAGATATTTGTCATAAAACACTGAAATCATGTGACGAGTCATTCATATTTCTGGCGTTTCTATTGAAAACCCTTTAGGAAGGGAAAGGATTTTTAGAGTATCTGTCTCCCATTAGATTTGATTTCTATGAGAAACATCTTAACTGTCCTTCTGCTGTGTTTGTCTCAGAAAGTGAAGCTTTCCTTCTCCTTCTCTCCGCTTGTGGATGATGTTTCTGTGTTTCTCTGAGAGTTCACTGACCCCAGGAGAGATGTTTGTGTGCTGAGTGCTTCCATTCCATTCTGAGTCTGCTGCTGTGCTCCAGAAAAACCCGTCTGGGCGGAGGCCCTGCTCTCCAGCATTCATCATCTGTCAGGCGCTGAGAGAGCTCACACACATCAGAGGAGCGGCTGATATCAGGCTCGACTAGTACATCCAGCTCAGTGTGCATGCGTGCGCGTGTGTGTGCATGAGTGAGTGTGCATGTGAGAGTGCGTGTGCATGAGTGAGAGTGTGTGTATGTGTGTGTGTGCACGTGTGTCTGTCTGTTTGTGTCTGTCTGTCTCTCTGTGAGTGAGTGTGTGTGTGTGTGTGTGTGTGTGATTGTGAGTGTGAGTGAGAGTGAGAGTGAGAGTGAGAGTGAGAGTGTGTGAGTGTGAGTGAGTGTGAGTGTGTGTGTGTGAGTGTGAGTGTGTGTTACTCACTGGCTGACATGGACATGAGTGCTTGGATGGGTCTCCAGGCCATCATACACACCATCATGATGGGGAAGATGGAGATGGTGTTTCCAGACATGTACATGATGAAGAGGTTCATGGGAATCTGCTTCAGCGGACCCAGCGCCACGTCCCAGCACCTCTACACACACACACTTTTCAAATTGACATTAAAATATCTGAACAATATCTAAATATCCAAAAAAAACGATATCTAAAAATAAAAACGTACAATTGTTTCAGATGTGCAATGTTTTTTCTGTATTTTCAGACGTTTTATGTTGTTTATACAATATGTTGAATTATATATATACTGTATATTATTATATATTTCCCATTCATTTCCTGACAGCCAAATAAATAAGTTATTTTTTTTTACAATTTATAGTTCTACACATTTTAAAGTTTATTTGAAGCATCCACCTGTGTTTGATGGTGTTAGTTAGCTATGATAACTGTGTTCTGTGTGAGCAGAGGAGCTCAGATCAGTTACGGTCAGCCTCCTGCACGCTGGGGTCCGGGACGGGTTTATCTGACACGAGCTCTCCGTCTTTACTCTGTCTGTCTCCGTGGTTCCTGCTGAGAGGAGCACAGAAGACAGAGCTCAGAGCTAGAGAGGTCTTCACCAGCGTCTCGGCCCATTTAAAATCAATGTGCTTTCTCCAAACAGACCGGATAAGACCCAAATTCTTTTAAACTGTCCTGGATGTGCACTAGCACGCTTGTGTTGATTGAGGAACACACACACTAACAGTCAAAAGTTTCTGAACAGTAAGATTTTTCATGTTTCTTAAAGAAGTATCTTCTGCTCACCAAGCCTGCATTTATTTGATCAGAAATACAAAAAATACAGTAAAAATTATGAAATATTATTCTAATGTAAAACAGCTGTTCTCTATGTGAATATCTGTTAAACTGTAATGTATTTCTGTGATGCGCAGCTGTATTTTCAGCATCATTACTCCAGTCTTCAGTGTCACATGATCTTCAGAAATCATTCTAATATGCTGATTTGCTGCTCAACAAACATTTCTGATTATTATCAATGTTGAAAACAGCTGAGTAGACTATTTGTTTCAGGTTTCTTTGATGAACAGAAAGTTCAGAAGAACAGCATTTATCTGAATAGAAATGTTTTGTAACATTATGAATGTCTTTATCATGACTTTTGATCAATTTAAAGCATCCTTGCTAAATAAAAATAATAATTTCTATAATTTCTTTCCCCAAAAAATTAAAATAATACTGACTCCAAGCTTTTGAATGGTAGAGTGTATAATGTTACAAAAGCATTTTATTTCAGATAAATGCTGATCTTTGGATCTTTCTATTCATTAAAGAACCCTGAAAAAATAGTCTACTCAACTGTTTTCAACATCATAATAATAATAATCAGAAATGTTTGTTGAGCAGCATATCAGCATATTATACTGATTTCTGAAGATCATGTGACACTGAAGACGAGTAATGATGCTGAAAATACAGCTAGCTGCACAGAAATACATTACAGTTTAACAGATATTCACACAGAAAACTGCTGTTTTACATTATAATATTTCACAATATTACTGCTTTTTGCTGTATCTCTGAACAAATAAATGCAGGCTTGATGAGCAGAAGAGACTTCTTTAAAACACATGAAAAACTGAAGATTAGGTAGCAGACCACACTAGCGAGTGCATGATTTATTAAATGATTTATTAGGCTATGGAGTTAATAAAATCAAGCTGTCACGTTTGTTGTTACAATCCACTGGTCACAACTGAAAGCCGAACTCAGAAATAACTTGTATTCATCAGGCATGCAGTAATATAAAGTCATAATAAATCAAACTACTGTACTGACTGCGGGGCTGTGTTTTCTTCAAACAAATAAATACGGTGTGCATGTGGGGTTTGGGTAAGAAGCGACGGTGTCACGTGCTGCTGCCGAGGCTCAGCTCCAGCCCCGCCCCTCGCGGCCAGAGCCCCGCCCCCGGTGACGTTATCGCGTCGGCTCCAGCTGAGCACGCAAGAACGAAACCTAGAAGACCAGACCTTTCACAACAGCACGCACTCCTAACCTGTCTGGAGACCGATCTGAATGTTTAAGCTTTGATTTATTGTTACACAAAGCGTCTAAATAAAGCAATAAGCCCCATGGTTTACAGTGAATTTATAACAGCTAAGGGGACGCGATGCGGAGGCTTATTGCTTTTATAAAACGGTTATTCCATATAAAACAAAATAAAACAGAGCAAATAAAGTGTAATGATATTAATAAAAACAGTATTCTTCCACCAAACAATGTAGCTCCTCAGAAACAGTTGTGGTTGCTACAAAGTGGTTGCCGAGCAACACACAAACGTAAACAAAGGTGTATGTTTGTAGAGTAATTAATAATCTTTATTTGTGACAAAACGAACAGGTAAACACGCACAGATCGGAGATTGAGCTCACCGTCCGACGCTCGTCGATCAGCCGTTAATCAGTCGATAAGAACTATTAGATGCTATCTGATCAGACCGATTCAGATTTAATGATCAAATAACATCAGCGCACAGGAAGCTGCGGCCAACGTCACTTCCGTCCCCAACACATGACGTCAGAGGCCTAAAAGAAACAGAAAGAGCAGCGCATGTTGTTCATGATTTAGCCAGAGACACTTACTTTATACCTGTGTATTTACCCGAATGTGTTGGATTGATATTGAATATCTAATATTTCAATGTATCAAATTAAAGACTCGATTCTCTCGTAAAGATGTATTTTTGTTGTATAAAAATAAGGGTTTGGAGCAAAATTTGCTGATTAATTTAATTATGTATGAGAAATACCATATGCACAAACAAAGAATGGACTGATAATAAACCCAACATTACTTTATTTAAAATTGAACTTAAGCATTACATTAAAAAAAGCAAAAAGGATGTATAGAATTTTTCAATCCTTTCCCTTATTGGTTATTAATATTAATTTCTATACGAGTATATATGCTTTTAAACGACTATTTCGGTTTAAATATTATTGAAATATTTACTGTACTGTCTTTTTAATTCATATTACTTATGCATTTATGATTTTACTAGACCAAAAACATTGTGTTATTAATTTAAAAGAAATCAAATAAGAGCAATACTTTTACATTAATATTTTTGATTATTTGCAAGTGACATCATAATAATGTTTTAGATTTTTTAAAGTTTATGATTATTTTGATGCCCATCAGAAAGAATAAAACACAACAAAACACACAAGCATACAGTTCAGTTTCTGTTTATAAAATTAAACATTTACATTTGTAAACATACATAAGCATACACTGCATTCTGTTAAAAATCTTTTAAAAAATAACTATTTACAGTCGCACCTTCCTCCTGTGCTGCACTGTGATGTTTATATATGTTTATATACAGGCAGAAGCAGTGTTATTTGTAGAGCGAGAGCTGAGGACAGTGGTACAGACACATGTAGGCGTCACACAGTAAGCGGCGGACAGGGTCTCTGAGCGACGAGGCGTCCAGACGAGAGATTTCATCCACCGACAGACTCAGATAACGGCCGACCTCCGGACACGAGCGCACCTGCGGCACGTTAAAGCCGTTCTCTCCTCCTGCACACACACAGACACACACACAGACACAGAAAACTGTTTTTCAAAGAATATGAGCATTAAAGCAAATTAAAAATAAAATAATATTATTATTAAAATAAAAAAAACAATAAAAGAATACAATTATTCAATTAATAAAAATGCTTAAAAATCAAATATGAATTGTTTTATTTAATAAATATATTTAATATAATTAAAATGAATAATACTAGATATATTTAAATATAATCTGAATTATCTAACGAAACATTACCCTCTCGGTCGGCCATGCTGTCGAAGAACAGCCAGTCCGTGGGTTGGGGTCCGTGTTTGACGAAGCTCACGTAGTGACTCGTCTCGATGCAGGTGACGGCGAACAGATCCATCAGCTGCCGGGCCCCGTGAACCGGCCCTTCCCAGCAGCCCAGGGGCCCCCGCACCTCCACCGGCCGGTGCGTCTGACGCTTCTTATGTGTGTGAACCTGAGAGAGACGACAGACATGAGAGAGAGAGTGCGTGTGTGTGTGTGTGTGTGTGTGTCTCTGTGTGTGTGCGCGTGAGTGTGTGTGTCTGAGCGTGCGTGAGCGCGTGTGCGTGAGTGTGTGTGTGCGTGTGTCTGAGCGTGCGTGTGAGTGTGCGTGTGCGTGAGTGTGTGTGTGCGTGTGAGTGCGTGAGTGTGTGTTTCTGTGTGAGTGTGAGTGTGTGAGAGTGTGTGTGTGTGCGCGAGTGTGTGTTACCTGTGTGTTACAGGTGTTGCAGTACTGTTTTAACTGTCCAGGTGTGATGTCAACATCCTCGTAACACTGCAGACACTCCCACTGCGCCACCGACTGACAGATACTGCACTGCCGCAGAGCTGCACACACACAATAATAATATTTCAAAAATCATAAATAAACAATACATTAATGAAATATGCTACATGAAGAAAAAAATAAAATATTTTACATACACATTTATACCTTTATCAAATTTATATAGTTGTTATAAAATAAATATGTGATGATAAAGAAATAAAGGTATTTGAAATAAAAAATATTAAATAAAAAAACTGCACAATAAAAGCATCAAAAAAGCATAATAAATTGTAATTGAATAAATATTACTACAAATGAATAAATAAATAATGCAAAAAAATCAATAAATGAAAATTAATAATAAATAATGAATAAATAATAAAATAAAAATATTTTCTAAATAATAAAATTAATCTGATATATAATATAAAATAAAAAATAAATTAATTTAAAAATATAAATGTTTTCTTACATATATTTACAATAAAATAAACGCTAAAATACTAAAGAACAATAAAACACTAAAGAATATCAATGAAAACAAAAATTCACTAACTGAAGGAAATATTTAATAAAAAATAAGAAAATTATTAAATAAATTATAATAAAATAAATAATGAATAATGGAACTAAATAAATAAAAATAATGGAAAATCAATGAATAAAAATGAATACAAAATTAATGAATAAACAATAAACAAATAAAAAAAAAATTAAAAATATTTTATAATAATAATGAAGAAATAAAAATATTTTAAATAAAATAAATATCCCATTATATACATTTAGTTTAAAATAAATGCAAAAAAATACAAATGAATAAAAACATTTTTTAAATTAAATGCTACAAATATTTAATCATAAATACAAATAATAAAGATTAACATGATGTAAATATG